CATACCACATAGTTTAAATGGGCCCTAAAACTTTTACAGCAGCTTAAAATACTTATTTGTATATGTAGGACATAGTCCAGATAGCTCCTCAGTCAGGTCCTGTGACAAGCAGCATAATATACTGAAGCCATGTGAAAGGTTAGTAGACCACAGCTAACAAAAAATATAGGAAAAGTCTGAAACCTGAACTCTACTAACCTTTTACTTGGCTGTAATACAATATGCTGCTTGTTACTAGACATTACAGAGGAGCTCTGTGAAAGATTTGCTGTCAATAAAAACACCCTTGAAAGCTGCTGTACTAACTTAAAGAAAAACTACAATAGATCTCTTTATTTCCCAACCTTCAATGGGTGTAAAGTACAGAGGGCATGAGATAAGCAGAACTGTCTGTTACAATTACTCACCAGTCAGCAGCATCTCCCTTTCATCCTTGGCACAGCTGCAGAAGAAACTCTCTCACTCTTACATGCATTCAATGGGGAGGGTTGCCTTGTGGAGAAGAGGTGGCCTGAGAGACACAGCTTTTGCCAACTGAGAGGCATCCCCCAGAAGCAGCAAGATTATAGCCATGCAGCAGAGTGTTATGTCTCCTGGATCTCGCAGGACAGCCTGCGGGACACATACAATGCAGGACAATGTGAACAATCCCAGGACTGTCCCCCAGGATTCGAGACACTTGACAACTATGTATCTGTGGCTATTGTATCTCAGATAATACATTCTGATGTTTATTTAAGGATAAAATCTGCCTCTTCTCTCCCTCTTATACACTGGCCTAACCATGCTGATTACATATATTCCATCCACTGTACAATATTTGTGGCTCTTGTGTCTCGGATTATAAATGTGCCTATTTTCATGATGCTAGCCAGTTGCTACCAAACATATACCTGAAGTCTGTTTTTAATATTTTGGGAGTAATTGGGGATACAGGGATGGGAGGGGGTTTGTGCGATATGAGGGTCACATTTTTTTTAAGATAATGCAGTGTGGTACTGCAGAAGAAGGAAGCTAACAATTTATACCATGAAACTGTTTATCATTAAGGTGCACTGTCAGCCCATTGAAAATAAAGAGCCTGTCTTAACGTAGTCCACCGCAACACGCGGTAATGTGTTGCATTAATGCAGGTATGTTAACATACCACTGGCCAACTTGTACAAAGTTGAGGGCTTAGCTTTATTTTCTTTTAAGATGAAATTTCAGCTTTTGGATTTCTTGTGACTACTTCCACCATAAGTCCTATTACCACCTAAAAAAAGATAATCTGCCATTTTCTAATGTATCTCCATTCAAAGCTTAACCACCAAAGACTACACGGTTTAAGTATATACAGAAGGCACAGTTGTGCAGTCAAGCTGTTGGAATTTGGCTTATTATAAAGATCACGAAAATGGCCCAGTGAGATTTTTTTTAACCATTTGTAGCCTAATAAACTGTCAAAACAGAGTGCATAAAAACACTTCCAAACCAAAACCCCACATTCCCTGAATAACCTCCCATTCTGGTATACCCAATTCTTTCCAAAATATTCAAAATATAGCCTTCAGGTTTGTGTGTGGTAGAAATTAGCCAAGGAGAAATCAAATTAGGGTGCCACTGCTGTATTTAGGCCAAGCTAAATCTAAACATTAAAAAATCAATTACACATCTAAAATATGTGATGCCAGAATGTGTTGCTGAGGCTGTCTGTGAAAATCGTACTGTTCCATAATATCACATACAGCTTAAAGCAAACATTATTTTCCACGCATGTAATTTAAAGTATTGATGTTTTTCCCATGTATTTTCACACAATAATTGGCTATCCCTGCTGTGCAGTATTTAAAAAAAAAAAAAGGTTTTGCTTTGTTAAAAGTCCCCCTTGACAACACCGTATGCCCTTTTTTGACAATAGTTTGCATATTAGCCCAAAAAACAAAATGTAGCCAGAATTTAACTGCAAGATTCTACCATATACATTTCAGTGGGACTCAATTGGGTTTGTCAAACTTTGAACCAGGGTTCCTGAACCTTTGGCAAATTGAACCCAGGACATTTTTCCTATCACTAATGGGCAGCAAAGTGAATACAGAGGAATTTCTGTCCTGCTGGAATGTCCTGCATGTGGGAGGATAGCTAAATTGTATCTAAAGCCTTTTTGTCATTTTGTCAATATTTCTCTTTTGCCCATCTGTGTCTCATTAGGGTGATATCCCTTCACATTCTGTACTAAAGACACAAAATGAGAATATATCTTTAAAATGTGAGGGAAATTCCCTCTTAGGCAGTTGTCACAGGAACTATTTGAACACTGTCTGTCCTAACAAAAGGTTAAAGATCTAGAAGCAGTGTTTATTAATGAGAGGAAGCTCACAATGCCCCTAGTCTTTATATGGCGACAAACAGAGTTTCCTGTCACTTTGCAATTGTACAGAGAAGCTTGCAGTCTGTCCAAAAGCCTACTCCACAGAGACATTTAAAATAAGAAATATTTTTGACAAAAATTATTTTTAGATATGTGAACACATAACAAACATGTAGTGGGGGCTTCTTAAATTTGACTTCAAAAGTGGAAATGCACTTTAGGTAATCTGAAACCCTTGCCCTTACTGCCCCCTAGAGGGACCCGCCTGAAACATCATTCACATCTAGTATCACGGTAATAATATCTAAAGGTTCAATCGCAACCCCTGTTAGAAAAGTGGTTTTAAAAAAGGTGAATATGCTAAACGTGAATAGGACGGTGTGGAATTTTGACAAAGTAGATTAAAAGCAGTGCCTATCACTGTTTTATAATTATTACTGCAGATGTAGAAAATCATGAATATTCATCTTATTTCAGGTTTGTTTTTTTACAAGCACTCTTATAATTCATTATTGCAATCAAACGATTCATTATTGCCGCTCAGTTATATGTGGCAGCATTATTAGCATAACCAATGTTACATCTATTCTCCAGGAAAAGAAAAAAAAAACTTTCAGAGCTCTGAAGTAGCAGCAATCATTCCAGTCCTATGAACTTTTCAGGGTACTATGAGTTTCATCAAAATGCCTGTAACAGCATCCAGATCACAGCTTCTCAAATCAAAGTACAAGTACCATTGTCAGTACTTCTGACAGGTTCGAGAGGTACTACTGACTGTTCAACTTACCTGAATAATAATTTAAAGTTTTATCAAACATAAATATTATAGAAACCAGCTCAAGCAGCTTTGTTTAGTTATCAAAAACACAAGTAGGTGGTTTGAAAACATTTTTTCTCACATTGATGGGTACCGAATAATACATCAGGACACTTAGGACCTGTGTCAACGGATTTTGGGCTTTTGTTAATGGCCACATGCAGCAGGCTTTCAGGCGCATTTCACTTGGATCTGAGGTCAGTTTGAGATGCTCTTGAGATCATTCACAGTTCATTGACAGGTGCATTTAACCTGCAGTTGATCTCCTCCTGACCTGCAGTTGACCTCAGTCTGGCCCACCGTTGGTTTGCTTCTCAGCTGCATCAACCAGATGCTTTTGTATTGTCATTGGCTTATATCGGAAAAGCAGCACTTGTGATGCGAACAAAGGCCCATTGACACAGGTCTTTAAAGTGATTTTGTTAGGACAGACATAAAGGCACCATTGCTGTCTTGGTTTTTATAGATGCAGACTATGGAAATGTCATCCTCATCCTGACCTCACTACCTAATAGATAATAGAGTTTGATGAAGCATACAAATTGGAAGTCCAGGTTAGTGACTCGCTTAGTAGTAAAGCACATATCAGCATGCCAGCTAAAGAGCCTGCATCTTTATAAACCAAATCAGCAGTGGCAGCTCCCTATGGGAGATTTAGAACCCGTTCACACCCATACATTGCAGTAATTCATATTAAAAAAGGCAAGTTTTAACGCATATTGTGTCAACGCATGGCTCTATGTGTGTTATGTTGCAGTGCCACTCATTATCATGAGCATCCCAGTGCACTGTATAGTAGCTGCAGTGAACCAATTTACATAACATGCATTTTGCTGCGGCACATTGAAAAAAATGGTCAAGAAGACATTAATTGGTCCATTGTGGTGCATTGGCAGCCAATTATGTTAAATGAAAATATATGCAAGGAGGGCACTTTATTAAGCATTTAATCTGATATTCACCAGACATCCACTAGAGGCAAATCTTTCTGGTGAATGTGTTTTAAACGACAGTGGGTAATTTACTGCCAGTAAATGTTTGGTTAAAGACACTTCTTTCACTGTTTTTAAATATTCCTTTTGGCAGATATTTAGAGACAAATTTGCTAAAGTCTTAAGCTTGCCACTGGGTTGTCTATCTCAGGAGTTCAAGCAGATATGTCAGGAGAAAAAACACGAAACAGGTCCTTAAATAGAAGGCTCTCTGATTTACTGAAATTCTGTGTGCTTCTGCTTGTGACATGCATTTGCATTTCGTGCTCAAGACTATGTATATATATGATGCAAATTCATATGCTGAATCTCCTGAGCTCGCTCGTTGTGATAATGCACAAATAGTGGCAAATGGGTTTAAAGGCGTACATGCACATGTGCAGTTTAAATCACTTTGCAACAGTGAAATCAATATAAAGGGCACTGAAAATGTAAATCCCTTGCCTGAAAAAGACTTTTAAATGTATTATTACAGTTTGTAAGTGTACCTATTCATATTGTTACCATATCCAATCAACACCTATATTAGGCAACATTGCAAACATTAGGCACATAGCATGGACAATGTTTATCCATGCAGATGAACATAAGCATGGGTACACTTGCAAGCAAATATAATTTTAGTAAAGCAAGTTCTTGATGAAACATTAGGGGTCATTGTAGAGTGTAACCTGGCTTAACTCTATGCTGAATAATTCATAAAGATCATTTTTTTTACCAATAATTTGTACTACTTTTTATTGTCATGCACTATATACTATAAGAACATATGGCAGGTTTTGTGTATTTTGTAAGCATTTTTTTTACTGTAATTATTTGTATAAATCATAAATCCACATACCATAAGGGATTGGTCGAGGATATTCCTCATTGCTGTTTCCTGGGAGGAGCTGAGTAACACAGCAGTCACTATGTCCGGCAGGAACAATGGAGTTGGAAACAGTGTCATTACGTCCCCTTGCTACTGTTTCTGGACAAGTGCAACCTGTCTGTGCCAGTCCACAGCGCACCCCCCAGTCATGAGCTCTCAAACACTCCTCAAACCATCTGCAAAGTACACCACAAGCAAACTGGCTGGAGTTATCATGGTTGACCAACAGAACCTCCACAAAGCGGAAACTCAGCACAGAGTCAGAGAGAAGCTGAATGGATAGAGGCTGCTCTGACAAGCAGATACGAAGAAAATTTTTATCAAAGTGAGAAAATGTAAATGGAGACTCAGTGGCACAGAGTTCCTGAGCTTCGTCTGCCCCTTCCTCAGGCCGGCTGCAGGTGTGGTTGGGAAGATAATGATCCAAAGCTTGCACCATGGGGGATAGATGTGAGCACACTTGCTCCTCGTGAGTGAACTTCAGGTATAATGTGTATTTGGTTGGGTCTGGGTTCTCCAGGGTCCAAGAGCAGCCAGGAGAGAAGACAGGAAATAGGTCCTTAAGAGAGAAGGCTCCGTACAGAACTCCAGAGGCCAGAGCCGAGCATGTGCTCGGTGTAGGGTGTGAACCCCAAGAGCACAAGACAAGAGACGATATCACAGATAGTAAGAGGGGACAAGCAGGGTTCATCCTATGACATGGGCCCTGTAAGAGAAGGAAACAAAGGCATTAGTTTTTAATTATCTGCTAGGTGCATAGCATATCTAGGTACAAAATGTAAATATAAATTCACAAGTGAACAAAGTAATAATAAATACATACATACATAAAAGAATTCAGGAGCTAGTCAGTAAAAGTCATATTATTACTGTATGTAGCCAAAAATAAAAAAAAATTAAGATGGATAGTAATTACCCTAAAAATCAAATTACACTATAGGTACCATATTCCAAACTTGTTCCATTACTTTTATAGGAAAACTGCACTAAGAGAATATCAAAGGAGAACTATGAGGTGAGTGCTTTTCACTCACCTCATAGTTCTAGCCGACCTGTGACAATGAGACTGTCACAGGTCGGCTCAGTAGATCGGGAGGTGAGCGAACACATACCGGGTTCGCTCGCCTCTCGATCCTGTCACGGCTCTCTGCCGTGACAGGGGGAGGGGCTGGATTCCCCTCTCCCCGCTCCGATCTGCCAGCGCTGACTGGCGGAACGGACGGGGGAGGGGGCGGGTACAGCTGGCTCTGCCTCTAGATAGGCAGAGCCAGCTGTCACTCACGCAGCTGGGCGGATCCCGTCATCTACGTCGGGATCCGCTCCGGCTGTGGCGTCTCAGTATAGGGTAACGGGAGGACGCTAGTTTGTGTCCTCCCGTTATCCTAAGGAGAACTATGGGGAAAAACACTGACCCCATAGTTCTCCTTTAAGGGTTGTTATTGCCTTCTGTTTCTGATTGGCTGTCATGCTAATTGAATGGCTTTAGCACTTTCTGGGACACCATTCTAGACAACTGGCATTTTTAGAATGAAGTCAGCCCCCATATCTTTTTCGGTACCTTATGGAGGCTACAATGACAGACAAAGTAATAGTAAATAATAAATATTTTTGTCATTAAGTTTCTGACTATTGCATGCTTAAATTCCCTTATATTTATATTATCACAGTATTTGAAGACCTAATTGCTGAAAGCAGTGGAATACAAAATGTTACCTAATGTAAAGGAAACGGATTGCAGTTGTGTTACTGTGTGTTGCATGTAGTCATTGCGCTATCTTACTGTACAGGTTGGGAACAATAGAATTTGGATATATTATATGGGCATGTCGGTACAATATGTATTATAATAAATAGCTCTGTCAAACAGGCAAAAAATGTTTATCTCTGTTTTACTGATTTCAACTTATTTACATTAAAATCAATAAAAAAACACTATAATTTCTTTCCTAACAGTAAATATTTTAAGTACAGCGGTTTCAATAGTCCTCTTCTGTATGTTAATTTGTTGGCGTATTTCCTGCCTGACCAATGACTGGCAAAGATATAAAGGAACAAAAACAGAAAAGGAAAAGTGAGGCTGTAGAGTAGTAATTGTTACACATTACAGAAAAGCAAGGCTGGCCATAGTACAAAATCTTTCATATGGTATCAACTGTGCCTAAAATTCATACAGCCCCTTTTACCTATATGAAAAACAAGGGTAACATAACCAGGTGTATTTGTCTATTGAATGGGATTATGGCTTTAGGCAAATATGTTATAACTACAACAACTCCATGTGACATAATGTGGCCAACAATTGTTTGGTTACTTAATGAAATGCTATAATTTAAATTAGTGACTTTGCCCAGGTTCCATTCTTTGATGGATCAGTGAACCCTGTCTGAATATGGTGAACCCAAACTTAGTGGTGAACCCTATTGAAATCTATGCAAATTTTGTTAGTAAATCCTGGCCATAATTAAGCAAACTAATGTAAAAAAAAAAAAGCAGAGAGAGATGGGCACTGCAAAAGGGCATATCTACCATTGAAAAAAAAAATTACCGTAAAACTAGAAATTTTTTTTTTCAAGGGGTTTCAAGGGCAACATTGAAAATACACAAATCTTTTAAATAACATGCAGTGTTATGGTTCAGTCATGGACAGTCTCAGCAACAGCATACACTTTCAGCTCAGCCACACTGAAATCGGATTCATTTTAATTTTAAACATTTAAAAAAGGCTTTTTTTCCAGATTGTTTTATCAGTGACACATGGTTTTTTTTTTTTTTAATCAAGCAGTAAGTAGGTATGCCCACCTTGACTGGCAGATGGAGAATAGAAAACTGTCTTGCTGCATAACGTAAATTAGCACACTGCATAATGTACATGGTCCCTTGATCAAGGATAGTATGCCTAAACAGTGTATGCCTTGCTGAAGGAAGCAATCTTTTAAGTTGTTTTGCTGTACTGAAGGAAATGACTGTTTATTGTTGCTGCTGTGGAAAATAAATGCAGTTTGTCTGATAAAGCCTGTGTCCTGCAAACCCCAAAATACTACCCCTCTGAAACAAAAGCCCATTTGAGATTCAGAAATGTGAGAAAATCCTAATATGTTTCAGGTCCTTGGTCTGGAAGAGGAGATGTTTATGTGAGGTGAAGAGCTCAGGTATGATGTCATCTCACCTTCTGATAATGCTTACTCACTGCCCCATGAGTACACAGAAGGGAGGGAGGTGACATAAGAAGCTCTAAAGCTAAAGTTTGTTCTATACTTTTATTGCAATTGTATCTTTACAACGAGGAATTCCTTCATGGATATACTTACATATTACCTTGTGAATACAAATATGGTTTATATACAGTGTTGTAGCCACACATTTATACTATATTTAAAAAAAAAAAACATATTTCTACAATGCATGGTTTCAGGCGAAAACATAATATACTTTTTTTTTCTGTTCAGGAGTCTCTTTTAGATGTTATCATCATAGTTCCAGGTTCTACCACCTTCTATCGTGTAGTCCCAGGTGGGTGAGTTTTTCTCCTCTTGTTGAATTCTCCATAAGGTAAAATAAATGAAAATTTCAGCAGGGTGAGACACCTTTGCAATGACTGTAGCAAGTGGATAGAGCTAGGAACTAGGTGCAGAGCTATAAGAACCCGCTCATTGATGCAATTTAGCATTTGCCTAAAGCTACAATATTTAATTTGGTTCAACCTACCCTTTAACAGCTATTTCATGTCTAACATATATACAGAACTACCTTACCAAGGGATTCAATAACCTTTTATTATATTTAGCTGCCATTAGTTATTTAGCAGAATTCATAATTCAGTAATGATTATATTTCCTATAGTACTTATCTTTAATATTATTACTTTAGGAATTATAAAAACAAACAGAGGGGCAAATTCAACAAAAGAGCTCAAAGAGTTAAGTGCTAAGTACAGTGCAGCAGCCAGTCACTGTCCATCATGTAATTTTCTGTCTTCAATAAAGATATATATGATTGGTTATTATGCGTTACTGTACTTTGCACTTAGAGCTTCACTCTTTGCCTTGTTTATTGAATAAGGCTGTATAAATGTGCATGTTTAGTAAACATACAGCAAAAAAGATTGATAACTTCTTTTAATTGGCTATATTGTCTAAAGACTGACTAAGAACTGTATAGTTAATTTTTTGGAGGCACAGATGTTTAAATTTTAGATAAGTAGACGGAATTACTGTGGATGTGTAGCACATTAATAACCATGTCAGTTGCGCACATTTTGTAATTAAAACTCTTAGTGCACATAGATATTAATTAGGAAAATAAAAAGAGCAGTCCATAAGAAGACACAGTAATTTGGGCAGCACTCATCTTAGGAATACACATAATCATTCTTATTAATTACTGGCTTGAAAGGCAATCTGACCCAAGGGTGCAACAGATCCAACAGATCATGCTACCTAATGCAGAGTTTTCACTTTATACAAGGGTACTGCTTTCAAAGATTTGTTCCTTAAATGCCAGCAGCAGAGTTTAACTCTTGGAGGATCGCTAATAGTGGCTCCGTGACCTGGGCTTTTTAAGCCAATTTGGATTAAATGATTGCAGAAAACATTGCCGCATAAGAATGCGTAGTGAATGTACACTTTGCGGACAGAAAAGTTGACGGTAGATGATCTTGATCCATAGTATACTACTTTTGGCTCTGATAACAAATTGAGGTGTCCCTGACTCCACGGGGTCATCTAACATTCTTCTAAAGCTTCTCATACAGACAATAATGTGTTCTACAGCCGTCCATTGTTAATGGAAGGATGCATCTTTCTTTGGATGCTAAACCTACATGCTTAGTCTACCACTGTGATGAACCCTAATTAACTGGTGCACACAGCCTATTTCCAGTCACCAAGACCCTCTCCAAATACTGTCCATGGTGTATTATGCATTGTAGAGGTATGGCCCATGTAATTGTCATATCCCATATAAACTAAATGTGATGCATTGTGTAATGTTTTTTGGTAAAACACAACTGCATTGGGAACTGACATCTCCCATTTTCAGTCACCAAAACCTGCCTCCCATGCAGCAGATATTTTGATGGGGTGTCTTGCTGTAACAACCAGTGGGCAGACAATGATCATGGTCTGGAGTGTTAAAGACACCTAATAGTGCATGCAGAGAAACTGTTAGATTGATAATGGTGAATGTTGTGTGCATACTCACAGGAAAAGCAATGCACTGGAGTTGGAGATATAGCCAAAACAAAGGTCAAAATTTAAAGACGAAAGTGTGGATAAATACACAAACAGAAATACAAGGTAAAAGGGAAAATGTAGGCACCTAGCCACAGGTTAACAAAATGGTCTGCAGCGTGGGGCATTTCTCCTGCCTATAGCCACTTCCTGGAACTTGATATAATCACCCATACTAAGTTGTCACTAGCACAAACCATTCTACCAATCTTCACCTACTTTTCCAGAAAATGTTCTTAGAGCTGGGAGAGTGCACAAACAGGATACGCACAAGAACAAACTGCAGAGGATGAAAACTTGGCTAGTGCAGGCAAAACTAAAAGAACAACTCAAGTAAGGTGAATTGCATGAAGTCCCTCAGGCAAATGAAACCTGAAAGACACAGGAACAGAAAGCTACCAAATAGCAGGGACTGGATCAGAAGGTTGCTAAAACAAGGTTTATTATTAGAGTCAGTTTAGCAAGCAGCTGCAAGATGAATGGGATTTGGGAGTGAACTAGGCAAAGAATGCACAGCGGGGTTAATTTACTAAAGAGGTAGAGCATGTTCACACTACAAAATGATTTTCACGTTCTTAAGCAAGTAACCTTGTCTTCTGTGTGTATATTCCCTATCTCTCTAAGCTTGCCAGCACTCCAAATGTACAAGTCTATATCCAACAAATTAAATTAAAACTGAGTGCAATGCTATATGAGTTTCTCTATCACTAAATTAAAAAGTAAAGTGGCCAATGTATACTTGGGTGAGGTCACCACACCCAGTGGTTCCTTGCGTAAACAAGTGCAAGGTCCTTAGAAGAAAAGAGATCTTATATTCACCTTTTGGTGGTCCAGGTATCCTACCACCTCCATTCTAGTGCTTCATCCTCTTTGGCATTTGACACTTTCTGGAGTGTCAGATTCCTGCGTCCCCCACCTTGCACTGCAACTAATTTTTTTACACCTATATGACTGCTAAGTCCTGTAGTAACATAAGGGATTTGAGGAAGGAACCACAGCATGGGTGCAGATGCCGGACACAAGCATCTAACATTCTCAGAAGTGTTGAATGCCCAAGACACTGACAGAATGGAGGGCTGAAACGTAGGGAAGGTAGGACACACAGGTCACTGGAGAGGTCATGAAAGAAGGAAGTGTCGGTTTGAACTCTTTTGAGACATGACAGGCTATCTTTAACCAGTCTTTGCTCATAGGAAACACAGGTGAGGGCACAACAAAGAAAGGATACGATCCATGACACAGAGCAGTGGTAGAAAAAAAGGCAATGAAAGATAACAACAGAATGGACAGGCATGCATAACAAAGCAACGGGGAAAGAATCAAATCCTCATTGTTTCCATGCACTGCACTGATGCTGGTCAACAAGACTCAGCTGTATGAATTTTGAAATAAAATGCTTTATAGCATTAGGTTGTATCAGTGTTTTAAACCAACAGTTCTAAATGCACAGTTGGCCCAAAGGCATAAAGGGGGAAATGTTAAATAGCTTTTACCACTCTCCTAAATGAGGAACAAACCTCCTATTTTGGGGATTTGTAATGGCAGGTAGATCTGCAGATTCCTACTGTTTAATAATGCTTTGCTAAGTTTTCACTGTTTTAGTGGAGGTTTTTTTTTGGGTTCCTTTTAGTCCACCTCATATACCTAAAAACATTAAAACGACTATTATTTGCCTAACCCTCTGATGTTGTTAAGCAAATTATTAAGTTGCAGAATACTGGGAGAACTAGGGTTAGTAAGGAAGAGTATCTAACCATATCCTAATGCCAATAATTCAGACATAATTTGTGAATGTGACAGGGGTTGTTTACAATAGTCTTTATAGTTGAAGCTTCAAAGACATATGTGGTCCACCTAGAATCTTAACATCAGGGACAGCAGATGCATTTTATACCAGTTAAACTTTGTTTCTGTTAACTCCAAACCAAAAATGTCTGGTTGAAATTAAGAAAGTCCAAAGAAAGTTGTTTCTGTGTGCAAACCATGGTGCCAGCAAGTGCACAAATCTGTTCTGCAAGTAGAGGCTCTGAGCCCCTGGCACTTGTTTATGCTAGCATTCACCCAGTGTATCCTCTGGAAGATTTGGGTAGGAATGAGGAACAGACTTTTATTGGTGCTTTGTAGCATGGGAAATCAATTCCATGCACGTTGCTGTCACAAGCTCAGGTAAGAAAATGAATACTCTAAGACCACTACAGATAATTTATCACCTGGGTGAATCTTTCATTACAAATGCCCTTTCCATGCATCTCCTCCTCCCGTCTCGTTCCCTTATTCTCCCTTCTCCTCCCCTGTCAGCCTGGAGTAACAGCTGTCAGCTCTGGCACGAATCAGGTTTTTCTTTGATCCCTTTCTACTTGAGCATCATCTTTTCCCGTCTTGGGGACTTCTAGGAAAATTACATGCAGTATTATAAATAAAACACAAAACAAAAACGAACAGCCTCAACCCCTGCTGGAATACAGCCTGCTTTATAGCCTAGAAGAGTGAATTAAACAGTAAAGCGTGGTGCTTCATGAGAAAGAGGATTATGTGGTGTGAGAGGAATGGTAAAGAGCTATTTTATTCATGCAAAGTGTACAATAACCTGTCTACTTTCAGTGCCATCTACAGCCATCAGGTTCTACAGCGCTGGAGGGACACCATCACATTGTGAGAGCTCAGACAGCATCGACAAGTGCGTCAATAAAATAGAGAAGTAAATTGATGTAAACTGAGTGCCTTTGATGCTTGATCTCTATTTCTCCTTAAAGTCACCAAGATACAAAAAAGTTGAAAAAAATGTAAATATATTATGCTAACAAAATACTTATATCTTATATTACTCAAGGCAATCACTTTGCACATGAAAAGGTCAACCCCTAGCCTTATTCATATAACCCCCTGGCCAAGTAATTATGTAAATAAGGTGACTAATTGTGTAAATCCTACGTTTAAAGCAGTTTTGTTTTGCATAATAATGAATAAACTTAAATACATAAAATGTATTTGATAAATATACTGTTGATTAGCATTTTCTAACCACCAGGCAGTCTGCAGATCCATTTGCTAGTTCATTGCCATTTTTGTACCACAAAATAAATATCACACCAGGATATGACATTTATTTTGAAAAAACTGACAGAAATTTCTAGTTGAGTTGAATGAGATTTGGAAATTACAGTCATACAGCCATATTAAAGATCTTTAGTCTTATGTTAAACCACAGCTATGTCACAAACTACTACTACTAATACACAGACTAATGTGGGCAGAAGAGAGCAGGGAGAGGGGGCACCCACTGAGATTTACCTGTTTCTTAGTATGAGCGCCCACTTGGGAGTGAGGGCAGACTGCCCTTCTAACTGTTTCCACTTGTCATTTTATATTTCACATGAGACAGGAAAAAGGAAAAGCTGCATTCATTCTAAGGAGGGCGCTATTCTGAGAACAAGGTCTAACCTGTTTTTGAATACAAGGAGAGTAGGGGGAGAAACTCAGCCTTAGAGCTCCCCTCTCCCCCTCAAAGAGCCTCATAGCCTCCCTTTAGAGCCCTTCAGCTCCCCTCCCTCCCTTAGAGCCACACAGGGCCCTTTAGTTTAATGTACCCCACAGGGCCTTCCCTCAGCCTCTCACCTTCTCTCCTTCCCAAGAATGTGCTCCCAAGATGGGATGCCACAGAAAACAAAGCAGTTCTCTTTAGACTGACAACACCAATGCAGCATTATTTCCTTCCCATTGACACTGATGCAGTGGATTTTTTCCCCTCTCTGATACTGGTGTGGGGGTATTTTTTTATTTTAGTCACACAACTGATGCAGGGGTATTTTTTTCCTCCCACTGGCACCACCGATGCAGGAAAATGTTATTAACAGTGTAAATACAGTTTTTCCTTCCAGTGACACCACTGATACGGGGCATTTTTTTCCTTCCAGTGACACAGCTGACACTGGTGCATTTTTACTTCCAGTGACACACATTTTGTTCACACCCATGCTGGGGCATTTCTTCCTTCACCACTGTTAGTCCCATATTTTATTGTGGGGAAGAATGTGCACTGCTACTGAACTCTTCAATACTGCGGTGTGATACAACAATTGGTACTATTTCAGAGCATACATTAGCCATTACATACCTTTTGTTGTGGGCCACAGTAGGTGCCGCTATTAGCTCTGCCCCCTGCTGCACCTGGGGGTGAGGGCAGTTTGACATCTTTGCCACCACATGACTTTTTTTCTGCCACTGTTCGAGGGCTTTCATTTTTCTCATTGTGTTAAACACAGTTAAACAACACAATGAGGAGTGTTTATCAAAACTGGAGCAGACAAAATCTGCTGAGGTTGCCCATGGTTAAATTCCCCAAATGTGTTTTCTTCTCACTTTAAAATACTGTTATTGCTCATTTGACAAGAAATAAACATGTGTGGTTCAATTTTATAGCATCTGACAATGTTGTATCAAAGTATATGTATACAAATTTCAAAACTTTGAAGTAGCGGAATGACATTCAGTTGGCTAAAGCTCTACGTATTGTAAACCATTGACAGTTAAAAATAAATAAATAATAAATTAAAATAATACTTATTTTCCTTTGGTTTATATTTTGTGTTGCATCTCAGTGCTTCTAATCTTCCACAGACTCTTTGCAGCCACTTCATACTCTACATACTTGCCCTGCAATGATGACTGCATGGCATTTATGTGGGCAGGTGTAAGACCATGCCTAACAGCAGTTACGACTGTGCATGCGCATAGGCCTGTTCACCACATTTGCGGGAAGCAGCGGCTACTGCGCATGCGCAAACGGCAGCTACTGCGCATGCTCAAACGGCAGCTACTGCGCATGCGCAAATGGCACATGGCGCACAGGAAGTGACTTGCTCTGTCTGGGAATGATCCTATTTAAGCTGGCCCAACTCCCAGGATCTTTGCTGAGTGGTCTTTCAGCTTTAGTGTGTATTCCTGTATCTTGCCTGTTGCCATATCATCATCGACCGGATTCCTTGACCTTGCCTGATTGCCGCCTGCCTCCGACTTCTGCTTGTCCCTGGATTCTCCATTGCCTTCTCCTTTTGTACCTTGCTGCCCGATTGTTGCTGACCCTGGCTTGCCTGACTCCGCTCTGCTCCAACCGCATCAGCACCTGCTTCCTGCCTCACTGAAGACGGGCCTCAAGGACCTGCCCAGGCCCAGTGTCCTGCATCGTCCGGCACCGGTGCTGCCCGTAGTTTCCCCACCTCCTGTCTCAACATTCAGGGGTGTGGAACTCGTGCTGCAAAGGAGGCCTCCTCACAACTCGGCTCCCCACCAGGTACGTGATAGCAGGTTTCCTTGTGATGACAACAGTGAAACATACCTGCGTAATGTGTGGGGAAATTTAAACTCTTGTAGTCCCCATTGTCCATTTGAGAGTGTCAACGCAGGAACACCATTAAGAGACAAAACATTGTGACACGCAATAACATGAAGTACCCAAACAAGTGCCTTCATGGCAGGATTACTAGGTATTATTTGAAAGCTGCAGATTTGAAAATCACAAAATCACTTTGTAAGTTACATTAACATACTCTTAAAGTAGACAGGATATATGTATGGGCAATCTGAACTTGATACTAAAGGGGTTTAAAAATCACCTTTCCAAAATATATTCCTCCACCCCTGCCCTTCCTCAAACAGATATCTTTGCCTGTTTATAACAGCTCCCTCTCCCTAATCTTTCCCTTACACAAAAATATTTAATGGATGCTGACATTACAGAGGTGTTAACTGTCATCAAAAGCTTCTACTGTAATCTAGAAAATGCCCCAAACCAGACAGTTTTGCCAATCTTTTTAAAGAAAATATCTGATATAATAACGTGAGAAGAGAAATCACCAGCACTCAGTAGAGTAATCCAACATGTCCATTTATTGGACATAAACGCCACAGAAACACAAGAGCCAACGTTTCGAGACCGCGCAGATGCCCTGATGAAGAGACCCTGTGCGGTCTCGAAACGTTGGCTCTTCTGTTTCCAATAAATGGACATTTGGATTACTCTACTGAGTGCTGGTGATTTCTCTTCTCACTTTGTACTTGCACGGTGCCATCCATGATTATCACTGCAAGCACCATTTTCTGTACAGGCCCGGACTGCTGTAAGGTGTGCAGAGGATTCCTCCATCTATCCTATCTGATATAATAACGCCACATTTAGCCTAGCTCCTTAATTCAGGGAATGATTTTGTTTTGTTATGCTCATAGCAAACGTCGAAATGGTTCCGAACCAAACAAGCATCGTTGTAGTTGGTCAAATTATGGACCAATATCATTACTGAACATCGTCATGAAGATATGAAAATTTTAGCTTGTAGAATGAGTACTTTTCTTCCCCTTAAGATAGGTCAGGTAGGCTTTATCCCTAAGAGACAGGCGGGAGATAGCATCCAAAGAATACTTCATCTAAAAAAACCTAAAACCTATAAAGACCTAGCCCGCACTTGATCGCACTAACTCCTGCTGTTTTCTTTAGACAGCTTTTCATACCTTAACATGGCTCTCTTTTATGTCTGTATTGCAACAGCTTGGCTTTGGCTTGCAATTTATGTCTTGGATAAAAGTTCTCTATAGTTCCCTTCAGGCAAAACTTAAAATGTATTTCCACTTTTGCAGTTAAATTTGAGAAAAAACTACTATATGTTTGTTGTGTGTTCCCATTCACACAGCATAGCTAAAAATAATTTTTGAAAAAGTATTTCTTAACTTTTAGATGTTTCCCTGGTGAAGAAATCTGTACAGATTGAGGCAACTCTGAGCACATTGAAAGTTAAAGTAGAGAGACAACATAACATTAAACGTAACTTCCCACAGCCCCCTCCTTAACAGTTAAATGGGGGGAAGCTATGCTATATTTTTCACATGCAATGTGATTGGGAACAAGTTACAAATATACAGTAGGTGTTATCCCAATTTGGCTGCAAAAGTGGAAATACACTTTAAGTACCATGGATTTGTATCCCTTTTGTTCCTTATGAATAAAGATACCAGACAAGGCTGCCCACTCTTGTTCATTTTCACTCCCCTATGTCAGTTTCCCTTTTACCCCAGACAATAGCAACCCTTTAATACTTATTTCAGTGGATGGATTTCTTACCCTTCTTAGGCATTACCCAAGCCCCTACGTAAGAATCACTTTATCATGCTAATTTCCCCTCACTTTTTAGGTATTTCAATTTCCTTTTTGACTCTTGGCAACACTTTCCTATTTCTTGGATAGGTAGAATCCATGCAGTGAAAATGGCATATCTGCTTAAGCTGTTGTGCACTTTCAGAGTCCTACCTGTCCCCATTCCTGCCCATATTCTCCACATCCAATTATGTAAACTTTTACAATTAATTTGAGGTAATTCCAGGCAAGAATAAATAAACATC